TGTTCCAGGCATTGTGCTAAGTACTTTACAAGCATTACCTCATTTGCTCTTCACAACAACCCTGGGAGGTATATGCTATTATTATTCCCATTTTACAGTTGAGGAAATTGAGGCAGAGGTTTAGTGACCTGCCCAAGATCACACAGGTAGTAAGTAAGTATCTGATGTGGGATTTGCAGTTAGGTCTTCCTAATTCTAGGCCCAGAGCTCTGTCTGTTGCACCACTAGCTGCCTCTAAGACATATTGGATGGGTGACCCTAGGAAAATAATTTAGATTCTTAGTACTCTAAGATAACTCTCTAAGACTAAGTAGCAAAGAAGGTGTCAGTATGTCTTGGTAGAGGGAATTTCCTCATCTAGGAATCTATATCAGTGTCTATACCTCATCTATGCTAGTGAAATTATCTAAGAAAAAAAGAAAGAGAAGGAGGAAGGAAGGAAGGAAGGAAGGAAGGAAGGAAGGAAGGAAGGAAGGAAGGAAGAAAGGAAAGAAGGAAGGGCTCAGGCAATTTATAGGTTTACTTGACCTGCTTGAAATCTTATTTTCCATTCATAGAAATTCCACCTCAGACTCTAATTTAATATAAAATTATTGTTAGTTTTGAAAGGGATCATAGAAGTCATCTAGTCTAACCCCCTCACTTTACAGATGAGGAAATTGGCCCAGAGAAGTTATAATGTATCTAAGGTTACATAAGTAGTAAGTGACAGAGCTAAGATTTGAACCCAGCACTCCTGACTTCAAATCCAGAATTCTTTTCACTGCATTCCAATCAAAATGATTTCTTACTCTTTGCAGAATGAATTCTCTTCAGTCTAATACAAATTCCTTATGAAGGTAAGAAGGAATCTTTTCATTGCATCCTTTTCGTAATAGGTATTCCTTCTTTTCTTTTTTCCTTTTTGACCTCCTATTATAAGGGGGGAAATTCACTTTATTTCACGTTGGTTAACATGGAGGAGGTTTTGCTTTATGTTTGGTCATCCTTTCTATTGCTGCTATAAAAAAAAGTATCTGATTCAGGCCAGGGGTGTTGTTACCAAATTCTGTTTTTAAGGGAAACAAATCTGCTTTTGATTTAATCAAGCTTTCCTGAATCCCTAGATTTACGTAACTACTGATAACACTTAGGCCACTAGATTTCACTCTGCACACCAAATGCTATAGAATTTTCCTTCAATTTAAAAAGAAAGACAGTGAAGAAGTAAAAAGAAGAGTTCTTTCCCAGGTACTTCAGAAAATGCTCTTACCACATTATCCCTGATGAAATCAGACTTAAAATATGTAGCCTGGTATTGCCATGGAGATGCTCTCCAAAGATCTCACCAGCCAAGGACATAGCAAACTAGAGGGATTCTGGGGGTGTTTGCAAGGAATTCAAGGAGAAAAAAAAGAAAAAGCTGGGTCAGGTGGATAAGAGTTAGCATCCTCCTCCATTTTAACTCCATTTGGACTTTGTAGCATAGAAGAGTTGTACTGCTCTGACCCTCTCTATGAAGACTCTGAAAGCTGCTCTTTGTAGCTATATTGCATCTGCTGCTAACAGGCAAGCCACGGCCATACTGTCAGAATGGAGCCAAATGAATAATGATTGTTGGGACCCTCTCCTTTTCCTCCCCTCCTGCCCCCATGTCAGAAAGAACAAGCCTCTGGCAACTGAGCAATTCCCTCCAAGATGCCTGTGCCCCTCTCTGCATGAGAGGGAGAGACTGGACCAGGGCAGCTACCCCTGTTTCTGCAGTCAAAAGGGTTATGCTATTATGCTATTATTTTCAGGGAACTGGATCAGTCAGAATGTCTAGGGTCTCCTTCCCTGCTGCGATTTCTGTTTATTCCCTCACCACTGTGTATTTCATTGTTAGATAAAAGAAATCAGTGACCACCAATCCCTGTTTTATGTTTAATGTTATTTGCAGTGATAGAGGTTGGGGAGAGAGTGAATCTGGACAAAAAGCAGTAGGCACAGCCAGTCCTCATTAGAGCAGCAGTTAGATGACGCTTTCTCCTTTGGAAAATCACAACCTGGCGACGCTTCCTTGCTATAGTATTCCTAGCCAGCTAAAGGTGATAAGCAGAAGTAAAAGGGAAAGCTAATAGCAACCTAAATTGAGTCCTATTTCCCCAGACTAGAGATATTAGTGAACTAAAGGCTGGTCCTTTGGGAGGGGAGGGGGGATTGCTTGCTACTATGGGTAACATAGGTCCCTGTTGGAATACTTTTTTGGTGTACTGCTGGATCCCTTCCTACACTCATCTCCTGGCTGAAAGTGAGGAAATATATAGGGTGAAGGTCCACTCTGACCAAGTGATACGCATCAGTAGTATTTGTCTTATTAGAGCTAGACAGTATCTTAGAAACAGTCTAATTAAACCTCTTCACTCTACAGATGACTAAAATAAGAGCCTGGAAGGCAAAGCAAATGATCTAAGGTCACACGGCAAGTTATTAGGTGAGCTACAAATAGAACTCAGGTTTCCTGACTCCTGGTTCAGAGGTCTGTTTGATATTTGGTTTCCTCATTTCCTTCATCTGACTTCCCAGTCAGTAAAATGGAGTGTTCATGATGAACACAAACATTGAGGCGAGTATTTTAGCTAGTTGCCTAAAATCTTTATACTTTGGAGGGGGAGAGGGAGTATGGAGCTCTGAGAACTGAATTGGCTGGAAGCTTATCTTTCTAGTACTATTATATAGGGAATATCTCTAGCAAGTATAAATGATTAAAAGAGATGATTCCTATTTACAATGCAAGTTGCTGCCATCTAGTGTCATCTCTGGAGTAATGACAACACTATGGCTCAATTCTGTTCAAAGCCCCTGATACATAGATATCCATAGGAAAAGCCCATCACTCAACTCTTTCCAGACCTATAGATTTATAGTATAGGAGGATGAAAATAGAGGAAATTAACTCTGTGATCAATTATATTTTCACATGTCAAACAGAGAAGCTGGCCCATAAATACAGGGTATCCCAAAAGTTGTAGTTTAATTTTAAGCTATCAAAGCTTATAGCACATGGAATTTTTTGAAAGACTTTCTGGAAACCTTAGCTTTTTGAAACTCAGATTCTCAATGACATTTTAAAAACAAATCATCCAATTTTCATGTTAGTGATACTGTTACTAATTCATTTCTGCTTCTTTTTTTGGTCCTCTCTTCTTCCCATGTTTCTTTTTAAAAATTTAGTTTATTTTTAATTTATGGAATAAAACAAGCATTTCCAAGAAATCGTACAATAAAAAAGATGATTGCACATGAAACAATCTGCTATGCATAAATAAAATGTTTCTTCTTTTTTCTTCCTTACTTTTCTTCCTTACTCACTCCCATCCCAATAGTCTTTTTAATGGAACGGTCCTTGTTCCCTGATAACCTAGAAGTCTCATCAGAGTAAGAAAGAAAAGAAAAGAAAAAAATTGTTTTGTTCTAAAGCATTTGATTTTGTTGTCATAAGACAGCTGTTCTCATATTTCATCCTGTAACTCCTGAAGTCTCATCATATCTTTCTAAGGTTTGGGTTTTTTCAAGTCCAATGTGTTCTGTAGGCCTTGACACCATACAATATCTCTTTACAATTTTGTGGCTCTGACCTTCAGTCTTGCAGAAATAACTATTAAGAGACTGAGAGACAAGGTGGGCAAAGGAAGGGGCCCAGGAGGATGCTGTGGCCTATATTTAGGGCAAGACAGTAGAAGGAATTTAAAGGGCTTGAACTTGAGGTCATGAGTTGTTGTTCAGTCATTTCCAACTCTTTATGACTCCATTTTGGGGTTTTCTTGGCAGAGATGCTGATGTGGTTTGCATTTCCTTCTCCAGTTCATTTTACAGATGAGGAAACTGAGGCAAACAGGGTTTAGTAACTTGCCCAGGGTCACACAGGTAGTAAGTGTTCCAAGCTGGATTTGAACTCAGGAAGATGAGTCTTCCTGATGCCAAGCCTGGTGCTCTATCCACTGTGCCACCTACCTGCATGAAACCATGAGACCTGGGTTCAAGTACCAGTTCTTTGACTTGTATTGATGTGACCTTATACAAGTCACTCAGTGTTCTCGATCCTGAGTTTCTTCATCTTTTAAATGACGGGCTTGGACTGCATCACTTTTGAGGTCCCTTTCAATTCTAGGTCTTTTGTCACATGATCGTGCAACTACCAAAATGTACTAACTCTTTGATCTTAACAACAAATTCATCCCACTGCCACCTCACTATTTCCTCCTCCCACTAAGAATAAAAGGCTAGTATGAGATGTTACTTATGAATTTGCTTCATTGGCATTAATGGTTATTTGTGATGAAACTGTGGCAGTTCTAAAAGTCTAAAAGTCTAAGTTTTAAAAGTCTCTTGAGACTTTTAGAGACGAGAGCTTCACTATCTGGAATGGCATAGATCCAAATGGAACTGTAATTAGGGTTTTGTCTTGGGTCACCAACATTTAGATGTGATGAAAGCTCTTACTCTTTTTGAAGAGTTAGAAATTACTGAACTTAGCCAGTTAAAAAGAAAAAAAACACTTTACTTAAAATAGTAGACCGCAGGCAAACTTTCCCAGGCTGGCCCTACTTTGTCCCCTATAGCAGCCTCCTTTGTCGTGTCTCAGTGTCTCTGCCAATAGGGAAAAGTGTCTCCCTTTCACTGGGTGGTATTCTGGGCTCTTTCCCCCTGGCAACTGAACTGGTCTCAAAATATTGATTACAGGACATACATTATGAAACTTTTGCTGGATACCAAAATTGCTATTTATAGGTCTAGTGCTATGAAGTAGAGACCTATAAAGTAAATTACCTTTCTGAGTTCTTTTCATCTCTGAAATTCTATTAATTGTTTCACAACACGAATAAAGCTGTAAAACAATTAAAGAATCTTGGAGATGAAAGGAACTCTAATGAGAATGACTTCTTTTTTTGCAAACTCTGGAAATAATTTAATGTTTGGCTTTTATCTTTCATTGTCTGTTGGGTTGAGTAATGCTGAATGGTCTAATTGTTGGACTTTAGATGCTTGAACCTCTTGAACCACAAGTCCTCATCGCTGAAAAGTTCTTAACCCAGAAAGAAGCTGAGACCACACAAAAGAAAAAGGTGAATATTGTTAACAGTGGGGAAATGGGAAGGGTGGGGAAATGGTGCTTTCCTTTTTTTCATCATGGCAGCACAGAAGACTTTAAAATGCAAACTGAAGCTTTAAGATATATAGAGACACAAAATCTAGTCCTGGTAGTCCACGCTCATTTGCCCCAAACTGATAATTATTACCTGGTCAGAACACAGAGCCTTCCAACCTGCTTGCTCCAAGTAGTGTAATCCTTTTTTGGTCTTGTGATAAAAATAGGAAGGAGGAAATTTAACTTGGACACAGACAGGCCAGAGAATATTGTGTTATATATTGGAAAGAGAACTGAATTTGAAGTAATGAGACCTTGTTTTAATTTTGACTCTGGTAATTACCATCTGTGTATCCCTGGGGAAGTCATTTTAACTCTTCAGGCTTCAGTTTCATCATCTGTCAAACGGTAGCTTACATCTCTGTGATCTTATGAAACTCAGTTGTTTCAGTGGAAAAACAAACAAACAGGATTTAGTGTCCTAAGTAAGGGTTTGTATACCCATTCTCATGTCTCCAAAATCAGTACTCTTTTCCATAACTCCATGCTCTTGGCCTATGCTATGAGCTAAACATATGGAATTTTTAAAAATTACATCCTTGTATAAGGGTATATATATACACACCTCAAAAATGGTCAGAGATTTTGGGGCTGGCCATATAGAAATACAAAAAGTCTAAGAATATGCTTAGGCATAGACATGATCACATATCTCCAAGGGTTGTATTGTCTCTGTGACCTTTCCTTACCTACTCATCTCCATGGGAGAATGAAAGAACCTTAAAGTTTGACAACTGGGGAACCTGAGTCTCAGAGCTATTTGGTAGTTATTGAACAACTATTACCTGAGACACTAAAATTGAAAGGTATATGAAACGCTAAGGTAGGCTGAGGGCTTTGATAGGAAGGACTCTAACTCCTTATGTCAGGAAGATAAGTCCAAAGAAAAGGCTAAGATTATAGTGGGGGTGGGTGAGGAGTCTGGTGGTATTAGCTACTTTGAGGACCCTGCTCTTTGTTCTAAAGAGGTTGTCACGTGCAGGTGTAAATCTCCTCTGGGAAGGTGAGATGTCTCAGAGTAAAGACTGAGGGAATGTGACTAACCTGAGGGTTTTTGGTGGCTCCCAGGCATTAGTTTCTGCCTCTTCTAAAATATCTGGGAAAAGCTTATGGGGTTTGATTAAGCTAAAAAAAAAAAAATTAAAGCATGGCAGCACCTGCTCTTGACTAAGGAAGAGCTACCCAAGGATTTCAGCTGAGCTTTAAGATGGAGGCAATGGAGCCCACAAGCAAAAAGTCTTTGGCAAAGATTATAATGAAGAAGCATCTGGTGGAGCAGAGTCTAGTAGAGACGGCAAGACCATCCTGAAGAATCTAAGGGATGATTAGGGAGAAGACCAGGGAATAAGCACAATGACATCACTAGGAGACATCAGTGATCTTGTAGAGTTGGAAGCATGAATTATTTGCTACACATATGACCTATACATACATGATCCCTATGTGTGCACCCTTCTATGCATGCACTCTGGTCACATGTTCTTTATGTGTGTGCCTCTCCATGTGTTCTTTATATGTGTTCATTTTTCTATTGATGTGCATATGTTTATGGGAGAGTGCTCCCCAGGTTTATGGGAAAATGTTTTGTAGATACCTTTTTTTAAAAGGACATTTTTTAAAAAGACATTTCATGAAATGTCTTTACTTTGAACAAATTGTGGTACTCTGATTGACCAACAAAGTTGGACCCATCAGTGGGGGTTCACGAACTATGATTTTAAAGGCAGAGAAATTACAGAATATTTTGAACCTGGGGTAGTCACTCCTGTGGGACCCACCTAGTGAGCTCAGGTGAGTAGAGGAAACACTCTAGGAGCTACTGGGGAAAAATTGTACTAAGGATGCTTCTTGTTCCCTTCAGTTAGCAGCTTTCTTTCTTTTTTTTCCCCCATAGGAGAAATTCAATTCATATGGTAATGACTTATTCTTACCAGGCCAAACAAAATGTTGTCTTGCAATTTGTACAGATGATCTCCAGGAACTGTTAGTCTTATAAGCCTGTGTAAAAACAGCCCTTATGTTGACAGGCACCTACATGGATAGACTGGCTCCTAGACATATACTTGAAATTGTCTTTGTTAACATTGCCTAACACGGGTCTTCCATGTGCTCAACATGAGGAGTATTATTGAAAGGCTTTGTTTGCTACATTTCTTCCCTTTCACACACTACAACAACTGGTGAAGAATATAGATGGGCTCTGTCCTTCACTGTCCACAGGGACTGTCTGCATTGTTACTGGTGCCCGATGGAGAGGGGTGACCAATGGCACAAAAGACCAATTTCAGGTCCTTTCTATGCTACAGCAGCTCCTGGGATCAATATTTGCCTATTACAGCATTTTACAGGGATGAAACAAGCCTCCCTATTAGGAGCAAACACTTTCCAAGTCTATCAAAACTTTTACCTTTCATATTAAATCATCATATCTTTGATAGAGTAATAGCTCATATTTTGTCACACTTCAAAGTTTGAAAAGGTTGTGACATACATTATTTCATTTGATCTTCACAGCAAACATGTGGAATAGTATTCTCATCCAGATTTCACAGGAGGGGAAACTGAGGCTGGGGAGATAAAGTGACATGCCTGGGGTATCAGAGTTATTGTGTCTCAGGCAGGATTCAAAACCAGATCTTTTCGACTCCAGAGCCAGGCACCCTATTCACCAAAGCCATGCAGTTATCTTTGGGAGTGAGAAAAGTATATTCACTTAGCCATGGCAAAATCCTGAAAAGATTGCCCTCACGGATGGACTAAGGGAGGGACAATATTACAAACAAATGAAATGCATACATTTTTAAACTCAATAGAAACATAAAAAAATTACAGAATACAATATACACCAAGGAGCAGCAATAACACTAGCAGCAATAAGGACTCATTCATGATATGGAAAGATCTACCTTGGGCTTGTTTCATAGATAATTTTATTGTGGTTAGTTACAGCAAGATGAAGTAGAACAAGCACTCTATCTGGAGTTTTGAGAGAACTGGATTTGAATCCCACCCTACACTTACTTACTAAACTGCAAGACTTTGGGCAAGTCAGTTTGCCCCTAGGCGCCTCAGTTTCTTCATATGTAAAATAAGATCCTATTAATATTTATCTACCTCATGTGATGGTGCAAATATAACACCTATTTCACTACCCATAGAAACTATAGATACTGTAACTCCATCCTTAAGAGCTAAGTAGAGCTTTGTGAAGCAAGGCAGTCTGGAGTGACAGCTGTAACTGTTATATTATCAGGGATTTCTCCCTGTGGAATCAGGGAGAGGATGACTGGGTTAATTTTGCTTTTTCTATGAGTATCTATAAAGAATCTGTGTAGAAGACAGAGAGAAAGATTAGAAGTAAACTATTTTTTATTATTTTAAGATTAAAAAAAACCTGATAAAAAGAATTTTATGAACAAACTAGCAATTTACAGTTGGTTGGTTGGTTGCTGACCTTTGTACTCAAAGAGGACCAAAATGACATCACTATGTCAGGGTCAATGTACAGACCAACACAAGCTTGGAAATCTCTACTATAGGTTGGGCACAAATAGTCCATATGAACATTTGAAGTGGAGATGTCTCTAAATCTGCACACCTCTTATTTATTTTGAGCTACTGTGATTCTGCTTTGCTCATAGAGCGCAGCACCTTCTTTGATGTGGGTATGCCCTACTGGGCAGTCCTGTGCCAGTGTCTCCCATGTCTCACAATCAATTCCAATGTGCATTCTGGAGAAAATGTTTACCGTGTTGGCTGAAAAGAGATAAATGAAAATGACTAACATGACTTTTCCTGAGAGACTGAATTTAATTCTTATCCTGAGGAAAAATCAAAAGAGGATTCTGAAGGGAGTTTTATCAGTGTTTGGAGTGAACTGAATGGTGAAATTACATTTCCAGAAGTGGAGTCATTTGCTTTTATAGTAAAGGATTGAGGTGGCTCTGACTGAGACATTTTTCAGCCAAAATATTATATATCTTTTTCTTTTTATTATTAATTTCACTTATTAATAAATTGCATATTCTGTAAATTTAATATTTATGAGATTTAGGGATTTAATATATAGAAATGCAAATGCCTACTATTGGAAAAAGGTTTCTCCAGTTTAATAATAAGTAATATTCAATATACTGAAGTAGGAGTTAAAACCAACTGATTAATATAGAAAGATTACAATCTTAATAATTAGAAAGAAAACACACACACATATGCACCTGAACTACTCTAAAGCTCAGAATAATAAGATTAAATATGAGAATGAGTAAAGTAGTAGGCTGAGAGGTAACCTGTAAGTAGGTGTGGTTGATCCCTATAAACCTGGCTACATTAGGATCTCATGAGATAATGTATGGAAAGCTCTTTGCAAACCTTAAAAGCATTATATAAATGTCACCTATTATTATCAAACAATCTTACTTTAACCAGTGTATTACCTTTTCATAGCAGGAGCTAGAAAAGAGAGTGCAAGCTCTGACATACTCTTCTGGGAAAAGGCAATATCTACACAAAATGAAAATGCTGGAAATGAATCACAGGAAACAAGAGGTAAAGATAACAGCAGAAGAGGCGCCACCATCTATTAATTAAAGAAACCTTGGGGGTGGGGTAAACTTTTTTTCTTCCTTCTCCCATGAGTAGAGCGCTAAAAATATTTATAGAGACTTTATTTAGGAAGGGGTTAAAATAAATCACTGAACTTAGAGATTCAGCTAATGATAATACTATGGGAGACAATGACAATGGCTTTGGGAGAAGTTAGGAAGAAATTGGTCCAGATAAGATTTCTGAGCTGCTGTCTTTTCCATTACCAGTATATATTTTGATATTTTCTTAATATCACTTTACCTGCTTTATAACTTGAATGTGTTTTCAAGGAGAGCTTGAAAAGAGACCATTTGAGTTCAAAATGTTATTTCATTTACTTGTGTCAGAGACAAAACTAGAGTCAGGTGATTTTTGTCTCAGGGTGGGAAATTGAGAGAGTTCTAATAGTATTTGTACTCCTACATGGAAGAAGGTCTTAAAACTTCTTTCATCCCCCTCACTGCAAACAACTATCTGTTTACTGTCCTCTAGTCCCCAGCAATCAGGCTTCTTAGAAGCCAAGTGTGAAGAAATGCAATTTCTACCCATTGCTCTGAGGTGAAATCATTCTTCTATGTGACCACTCTTCAGATATTCATATCATGTTCCCCCAGATCTCCTTTTCTCCAGGCTAACCATCTCCAATTTTTTCAAATGGTCCTCATGAGGCACATTCTCCAGTCTTCTCACCATGCTGGCCACCCTCTTAAAAAGGACACATTTCACGTTGTCTATTCTCAAATGAAGTGCCTAGAAATGAGCCCAGTACTCTAGATCTGTTTTGACCAGGGCAAAGTAAAGAAGAACTATCAACTCCTTCATTCTGAATATGATGCTTCTTTGTGCAGTTTAGGACAATTTATTTCTTTGCCCTACACATTACGCTATTGTTTTATTTTAAGCTTGCAGTCTACTAAGATCTCTAGTTCTTTTTCATAACTTTGGTCTAGCTAAGCTTCCTCTCATGCTGTATTATGAGGTTGATTTTTTTTTAACACAAGGATAGAACTTTATATATACATATATATTATATATTTCTGTCAAATTTTATTTTATTCAATTTGGCATACTGTTGGTTGGGAGCTTTCTCAATGCAGTTTCTGTTATCCAATATATTAGTTAACCCTCCAAACTTTGTGCCATCTGAAAATTTGATAAGTATGTCATCGAGGCTTTCTTCCAAGTGATTGATAAAAAAAATATTGAATAGCATGGGGTTAAGAGCAAATCACTAAGGTGTGCTACTAGATAGACTGCTCTTCAAATTAATATTTAGTCATCACTACATACTTAATGAACCTGGCCATTCAATCTATTCCAAATGCTCTTAACTGTACTATCATTCAGCCTATATCACTCCATCTTATGTGTGCCATGCCTAGAACACAGTAGGCATATAATAAATGCTCATTAACTAACTCACCTATCCACAAGTATAACATGAAAAACTGTCAAATTCTTTGCTGAAATTTAAATATGTTATATCTACCACATTTCCCTGATCTACAAATTTAGTTAGCTTGTCAGAAAAGGAAACCAGATTAATCTGGCATACTCAGATGATGATATCACACTGGCTTATAGTCATCACTTCTTCCCTAAGTGTTCACAAACTGTTCCTTAGTAATCTAGAACTTTGCCAAGAATATAAGTCAAGCTCAAGGGTCCACAATTCACAAATTCCACCCTTTTACACTTAAAAAATGTCCATTGGTTCTTCTCCAATCCTACAGCACATATCCCATTTTTCCAAAATCTTTCAAAGATCTCCTGTAGTAATTTAGTAATCACATATACTTTTGAGTAATCTTGAATGTAGTTTATAGAGATCTGGTGACTTGAACTCATTAAAGGCAACTAGATACTTCCTGACCATTTCCTCAGTTATCTAGTATGTCCACTCCCTGTTAACCATTCTTTGTATCCTTTCCTGTTTATATATCATTCCCTTTGGAAAAGAAAAGAGAAAAAAAAAAGAGTTGATTCATTTAATGTCCTCACCATACTAAGATTCTATATCTAGAATTGGGGAGTTTTTAGAGACCATTAGTTCCAGCTCCCTTATTTTACAGATGAGGAAACTGAGGCTCATGGAAGTTAAATGATTGGCCCCAGTCATCAAGACTTGAACCTAGGTCCTCTGATCCCAAAGTCAAAGCTCATTACACGAAATTAGTCTGCCTTCCAACTAGTATCACTATCCCATCTCTTCTGAAGAGCTTTCCTATCCCTTCTTTTATCATTTTATTGTCCACAAAATCTGTGATACAAAAAAAAAATCACAACACCACTTTTTGTTGTATTTAACATTCATTGCCAACATTAGTTTATGCTGAACTTAAACATTCCTGGCACATATCTGTCAAAGCCATCCTATTCTATTATATTTATATTCAATAATTTGACCTTGCTTCTATAATATTTGTCAATGAGTTCTCTACGTATTCAGGTTATTTTTTTCAAGCAGATCCACTTTTTCTCCTCATTAGAATAATTTCCTCTTATATCTCCAGAATTTCATTCTTCTCCATTCTTCTTGAGCTAACTTCCCTGTGAAAAATATTAGGCCATTGGACTAACTTATTTTTTCCATGACTGTCTTATAGTTTGCTTCACCTTTTGAAGAATGATCAGGTTCCTTGTTAAAAATCTCATACAAATTTCTATAATATCATGCTTCTATGTCAGATTTGTGATCTGTCTTCCAAACTCTTAATGAATCCCTCCTTCTGTCCAGAGAGTCTGTAGTATACTCATACTTCAGGAGAGTTATTGTTTCTACTACCGTTGATCCTCATCCAAATACTCTACACCATTTTTCTTCCCTCAAATTTATAGATTTCCTCATATGAGTATATAGTCTTAATATACAATGCTACTCCATTCTTTGTTAATTTATGTTCCCTTTTGAATAAGATAAAACTTTCTAAAGCCAAATTTCAGTCATGAATCCTATCCCAACAAGTTTTGGTAGTAGCTATGAGGCCCTGGAAAGACATGAACTGCTGCAAAGTGAAGTAAGCAGAACCAGGAGAACATTGTGTACAGTAATGACAACATTGTTGAAGAACTCTGACTTAGTTATTCTCAGTAATACAATGATCCAAGACAATCCCAAAGGACTCATGATGAAATATGCTAACTGCTTCCAGAGAAAGAACTGATATTGTCTGAATACAGACTAAAGCATACTCTTTCTTTCTTTCATTCTTTTTTTTTGAGTCTTCTACAAAATGACTAATATGGAAATATGTTTGCGTATGTATAACCTATATCAGATTGCTTACCACTTCAAGGAAAGGGGAAGGGAGAGTGGGAAGGAATAACAGAATTTGGAACTCAAAACTTTAAAAATGTTAAAAATTGTTTTAATTTTAATCGGGGGAAATATTACTAAAAAATAGCTATGAGGTCCAATTTGTCTCTTTGCATTAGGATCATTCTGCTAATTACTTATACCTTTTGCATTTTTAGGTAAACATTTGAGACCATGGATTTTATTGCTGCCTTTCCTCTTGGATGTTCTTTCCTGTAAATTATTGAACCTCCCTTCTTCAACTCTTTCTCCTGTGTTACACTTCTAATCTATGTGGTTACCAGCCTTGATGTGCATGATTTTCTCTTCCTTCCCTTTTCAATTTAAAGTTATCTTGATTAGACTTGAAAGACTTCAGGAAAATCTGTTTTTGTACTCTATTAGGTGGATTGTATATCTGGCCAACAGCCCATCATTCCCAAATATGCCTTTATCTTTATTTGGTAGATATGATTAAAAACAAACAAACAAACAAATAACTCCACATATAACTCCTGCCACGTTTTCTGTTTATTTTCCCCAGAACTTCATAATCCCTAATAATGCTATCTAGTTTTCTTCTACTGACATCACTCGCCCTTCCACCCACAGTGGTCTTCAGATTTGATAGTTACTAGTAAGCTCTCCTTCATAACTTAGAGACATAATTCAGGAAGAGAGCAGACCTCTCCGTATTTTTTCATTAGTTTGACAGACAGCTGCCTCAGTATCTCCCATTAGGAAGATGTCAATCTTCTCTTCTTCAACTGATCATTTTTCATAACATTCCTCAGAGCACAAGAAGCTGCTTTACTGAGAAATGATACAGTTGCCTCATTTATAGGAAAAGCCTCATCATGCCTATTGCATAGATTCAAATGATTAATTCCCTTCCTTCTCTTTGTCATGTACTTCTACCCTACAATCTCCTGACACAGAGTACAATTTCCCTCTGCCTTTTCCATCTCTGGATTTCTCTACCAGATGCCAGAAACCTCTTCATCTTAGCAGGTAATGTCAACCCTGGGACTCACGTTTCAGAAGTCCTCTTTGCCCCTAGGGCCACTCCCTCTGAATTGAAGGAGGAAGGCTTCTTCCCAGAAACTCGTTTTAAAGAGGGTGCCCAAGCCAGCTATCTCTTCAGTTCCTGCTTGACTTCACTTTCTGCACTTCTCCATGTCCCTTGCCCCACTGCAGCTTCCTTTTATTTGTTGTTCTCCCCTTTTGCATGTAAGCTCCTTGAGTGTAGGCTGCCCTTTTTTCTTTCTTACTTTTAGGTGTATTTCCAGTGCTTAGGACATAGTAAGTGCCTGGCATTTACAGTGCCTGGCACATAGTAAGCATTTAGTAAATGCTTGTTGACTAACTGGCTTTCTCTTTGTATCTTTGTTATTCCTTGTAACACTTTCTCTGTTTGTTTTTTTTTCGAGCAATACTTAATTCTTTCTGGTACTGAAGAGTATACATCCTTAATGAAGAGTCCTTTTAATGTATTAGTAATGACCCCTTTTAGAGGGGATCCAAGGTAGAGCAAATGGCATATTATAACACATATATTATCATCTAAACCACCTGGTTTATAAAAAAGTGTTTTAGTGCATTTCTTGACTGAGCACACTTTCAGTTTTTCTCCTAACTGGTGATATAGTTGATTTTGGAAATCACTGCTACTTCTGAGCCTTTTCTCCAAAAAGTTTCACTTCAATAGATATATGTCCTTATAATGAACCTATGAACTGTGAAACTTTTAGTCTGTTGGAGTCTCTGAATTCTGTGTAGTGGAGACTGATAAACTTGGGAAAGAAGTTAACTATTTACTTTTCTGTTATTAATATAGTTAAATCATTTACAGGCTCAGGCTGAGTTGAAGAGAAGTCTCCACAGAGAAGCAAGAATTAATAAACACAAAATGAGAGAACTCAAAGCCAAAAACATCCCTGAAAACATTCCAAGAAATGATGGCAGTGAAGACTTTGTAACTATAGAGCCTGATGTACCCATAAATGGAGAAACAGGTGAGTTAAGTAATTTTTCAATGAAATGAAATATTCCTAATTTGATTTTAGCCTCATCAGGCAAGTTTCTGGTGAAAAAGGAACAATCAATAGCTTTGTTACTCCTATTGCATACTTGTGGAATTTAGTAAGTCTGTCCTAATTATGGTACTATTTATTAAAAAGTAGTTTAGATAGAGCACCTGAGGAGGTGCTGAGTTCAAATCCAGCCTCAGACACATAACACTTACTAGCTGTGGGACCCTGGGCAAGTCACTTAACCCCATTGCCCAGCCAAAAAAAAGTAGCTTAGACACATTATAACTCACTCATTTTTAGGAGGAGACAAGCAGAAAAATCTTCATATATGATTAAAGAAAACGAAAGACAAGGAGGTTTATTAATACACCTGAAGTTGCACAGAATGTTAATATATTGGAAACAGTTTTTCTGATTTCTTATACAGTGCTCTGCCATCCCCAACCCAGTCCAATCTAATTCAATCTAATCCAACAAGCATGTTTGATGGAATAGAATTATTCTAAGTTTTCATGAGGAAATGTCTCCAGACAAGCAGGAATAGAGACAAACACACCAGTACCAGCCTATTAGAGAGAGGGGAGAATCCTAGGTTCTGTTTTGGGTGCTACCCCCTTTCTCCCTGGGTTATTCTCCCACATGACTTTCAAGAGGTAGAATGTTAGTGTTGGCATAGTATCAGGGTATATGGAGAAGATTATGGAAATGGCAACTGTCTCTGTCATTGAGCTGAATTTGAGAACCCTAACCCTACCTTCTTTTCTTATTATGTATTTCCTAAGAAAAGTAACATCATGTAAGGGATAGAGAGCTGACCTCTATCCCTTACTAGCTAGAGGCAGGAAGACTGACTTTGACACATACTGGACTAAGAATATAAATTATGAATTAGTTGTGTGTCTGAATTAGTGATGAGAGTTCTACACAGATGAAATCTGGACCCTTCCTCACTACAGAAAAACCCACTCAGAATCTTCTAGAACTCTTCTACTTAAGGTTTTCACATGAATTTATATTCTAAATTGGTTCTGCTCTGTCCTGGTTGTCATCTCTCTCTGTTTGGCAGGGAGAGAACAAATGTCTCCTGATAGAGATAGCTTCTAGGCTCTTTTGATCAACTCATTGTAATGATTGTTTGACATTGGTGCTAATCTTTAATAGGGCCTAGTGTGACCCATCAATGGAATTGACTCCATCCTCAAAGATCTCTGGGTTAGAATAATTGCTGCTTTCTTTAAGATGTGAAACCAAAGATGTTTGCATTAGTTTGCATTAGCCACCAACAAATATTCAACTGAGTTGTCCAGCCATTATACTAATAGCTATGTCCTAGTTCTAATTTAATGGCTTCTTTTCAGTCTTCATCTTCCTTGACCTCTCTGAAGCACTATCCATCACCTTCTCCTAGATTCTCTTTCCACTCTAGGTTTTCATGACATTACTCCTCTCTCCTAGTTTTCCACCCTACTTATTTAACTGCTCCTTTTCACTCTCCTTTGCTTGATAATTTAACCAAGGTACACCCAATAATGATAGGTGTCCCCCAAGGTCCAGGCTGGGCTTCTCTTCTTTCTCTATCCTATCTCACTTGGTAACCTCATTAAATCCCATGGATTCAATTGTCATCTCTATGCAGATGATTCCTAGATATGCATATCTAGTCCTAGTCTCTCTCTTGATAGCAGTCACTACCTTTTGGACATTTTAGATAGGATTTCTTTGGGTTTCTCATACTTAACACGTCTTAAATAGAACTCTTCTTTCCCTGTAAACTCTCTCCTTTTCTGAACTTTCCTAGTACTGCTGAGGACACTACCATTCTCTCAGTAACTCATGCTTCCAAATTAATTGGCATCCTCATTGCCTTACTTGTACTCACCCCACATATCCAATTTGTTGTCAAGCCTTGTTTTTTTTACCTTCATAACATCTCTCACATATATCCCATTCTCTAATCTCACATAGCTACCACCCTTGGACAGGCCCTCATCATCTTATGTCCATACAATTGCAGTGGCTTTCTAGTTGATCTCCATACTTCAAGTCTCCACCCACTCTAATCCTTCTTCCACTCAGCTATCATAGATTTAGATAATCTATCTAAAGTGCAGGTCTGATCATATCACTCCATCACTTCCCCTTCCCTACTTAATAAACTCCAATGGTTCCCTATCATCTCCAGGATCAAATGTAAAATCCTCTGTTTGGTATTTAAAGTCCTTCACGACCTGGTCTCATCTTACCTTTCCAACATTCTTACACTTTACTCCCCTCCATGTACTCTATGATCCAGTCACACTGGCTTCCTTTGTGTTCCTTGCACGTGACACTCCATCTCCTGACTCTGTACTTTTTAGCTGGCTGACCCCCATAGCAGAATGCTCTTTTCAAGTATTATCTACACATAGATAACTCTGAAACCTATATATTCCATTCCAATCTCTCTCTTGAAATCTAGTCTTGTATCTCCAGCTGCTCAATGGACAGTTGGGGATATCCAACTAGATGTCCTGTAGGCATCTCAAACTCATCATGGCCAAAATATCCACTCTCCCGGATTTCCCTGTTTCCGTTGAGGATAGCATTATCCATCTAGTCATTGAGGTTCACAACATTGGAATTGCTATTAACTCTTCCCTCTCATCTCCTATAATCCAATCATTCTTGTCAATTCTACCTCTGCAGTTTCTTTCCCATCTGTCCTCTTATTTTTACCCATATGGCCACCACTCTAACTTAGACCATAATCATCTCTCACCTAGAGTATTGCTATAGCTTTCTAATTGGTCTACCAGCTCCTAATCTCTCTTCTCTCCAATTTATCCTTCACACAGCTGCCTAAATGATATTTTTAGGGCACAAGTCTGACTATGTCACTTTCCTGATAAAGCTCTAGTGGTTTCCTCTTGCCTCTGGGATAAAATATAAACTTCTCTGATTAGCATTTAAAGTCCTTTTCAATCTGGTTCCAATCTGTCTTTCTAATCTAATTGCACATTTCTATTCTTCACAAACTCCTAACTGGTTTACTTGTTATTCCCCAAACACAATATTCCATCTTCTGTCTCCATGCCTTTGTACAAACTGTCCACTATGTTTGTAATCCATTTCCTCCTTCCACCCACCCCCAAAATTACCTAGACTCTTTCAAAGCTCAGCTCAACTGCCACTTGTTACAAGAAGCCTATCCTAACCTCAATGCCATCAATTCAGAAATTACTTTGTATCTACTTTACATATATTTTGAATTTCCTTTTCAACATATAGATATGCATATATATGCATGTGTACACACATACACACATATGTATATATACATGTGCATGTGTGTATATACACACATACACATACATATATAATTTTACCCTAATAGAATGAGTACAAGGTCATTTTTTGTCATCATATTTCTAGTGTGGTATCTGGCATATTATAGGTACTTAAATAAATGTGTGTTGAATGAATAAATTAATGAATGAATCTAAATTCCTTGGAAACAGATCTTCCTTAGACACAATATTAATTACATTGTATTGAATGCTAAAAGAACTTCAGTCTTTTTCAGGAAATGCATGGAATAGAGAATTTGTAAAATATCATGAACAGAGTGAATATCATCCCAGGAAGAGTGGTGAATTGAGAAGATGGCCCCTCAAACAGCAGATCCAAGATGAACTATTTTGGGACAGTTCTAGTACCGATTCAGATGAGTCGGGAAAAGAGGAAAGGAAATCCTGGACACTAGTGAGGACCAAGACAGAAAGAATTGCACTTTTTGATGAGTTCTTTGATCAAGAGTAAGAGAGTTAGAAAATTAAGAGAACTATACACCAATCAGGATTTCACTGGGAGGGGGCAGCTAGGTGGCACAGTGGATAGAGCACTGGTCCTGGAGTTTTGGAGGACCTCAGTTCAAATTCAGCCTCAGATACTTGACACTTCCTAACTGTGTGACCTTGGGCAAGTCACTTTAACTCTGATTGCCTTGAAAAAAAAAGAATTTCATTGGGAGGAGAAAGGGGAAAAGAGGGAGTGAATTGAAAAATTCAAATATTTGTCATTCCAGTACCTAGAACAGTGCCTGGCATAAAGTAAGTACTTAATAAATACTTATGGATTAATTATTTACTGGTAATACTGATTCAAATCAATATGTGGAATATGACACATTTAAAAGGGTCTTTTTTTTTAATGGAGGCTTTTTTAGTCCCAAAGCATTATATGTGCCTCATTTAAGAAAAACTGATATAGAAAATATAAAACACACAAATTAAAGGGTTGGTTATTCACATAATACTCTTTATTTTATTTATGAGAATTACATTGTTTTTTTCAATACTAAGGTCATCTAGGAAACTTATTGATTTGTTTTCATATAGCTAACTACTGGACTTAACAGCGAGGTACATGGGAAACTGCGGAAATACTTAATATGTTAGGAATCATTATTGATTAAATAAATACTGACCGAATGAAGTCAAAACAATTCTGACAATATGATGAAGAATCATGGAGAATAAGAATTTTAGAGTTAGAAGGACTCTTGGGGATCATTTAATCAAGAGAAAATTATTCAATTTGCAAAAACCAAACACACATATACTTTGAAAAACATCTATTGTGAAAGCCAAATACAGCTGCTTCCTTAGCATTATATCCCATAAGAAGTTATATCTTATCTATAAACATTTAAAAGTTACTTTAAAAACTTTTTAAAAATACTTAATGGTTCATTTTATGAAATATTCCAAAAAGAAAAACAACCAAAAACCCCAACCTTGGAATTCATCAAATGAATATAAAGAGCTGACACATTTGAGAAGAAACACCAGAGCTATAACTAGGATTTTTTTAAGCTGGTGGCAAAATCAGTTGTGGGAAGGGGCTATAGTGCAGAGGACAGTCTGATGTCAGGTCTAGTTTTTCTGGGATAGGAGACCATCCACCCCAGGTTCCTGGATTTTGTGGGAGAGGTAGACTCTAGCAGAGGTAAATGAACAGTCACTCCCACCCAAGGAAATATGTACTCTCCTGTAGAAAAAGTATCTACTCCTATATCCCTGAGTAAGGCCTCATTGGCCTTGTGACAACTGATAAATAGTTCTATCTCCTGGCTAATGCCAATTTATCCATAAGTTTATTTGATTGTTTCCTCTATGACCTTGTTCTATCAACAACCTCCTTTTCTTACAACTTTGAGAGACAGTTAAACATTAATGAATAATAAGCTGGATCAGGAGTCAAGAATGTCTAGGTTAAAATTCAGCTTCACTTACTAGCTATATGTGTCTGGGTAAGTCACTTCTTTAGCCTCAGCTTCCTTTATCTGTCCAATGTGAATAATAATAATGATAATACCTATAGTACATGACTTTTATAAGACTCAACATCTAAAGTTCTATATAAATGTCAACCATTATTATTTCTATTTTGTACTGGCAGCTTCTATTTAAGCTACAACATGCATAGATTTTTCTCTTTCATAAAAATTTTCTGGGGGCAGCTAGGTGGTGCAGTGGATAGCATACTGGCCCTGGAGTCAGGAGGACCTGAGTTCAAATTCGGCCTCAGACACATAACACTTACTAGCTGTGTGACCCTGGGCAAGTCACTTAACCCCAATTGCCTTAAAAAAAATTAAAAAATTAAAAAATTCCCTCTCTTGACCCAGCTAGGTTATGATCCTATCCCTTTGCTAGCACATTTACAGAAAGAACAGCCTACATTCAATCACTTCCACTTCCTCTCCATACACTCATTCTTCAACCTCTTCCATTTCCATCACCCATCTGAAACTCTGCTCTGTAAAGTCCTATGACATCTGTGGGGGGAACAATATCCCACGGTTTTGTTCCACTCAGGATGGAGCAGTATTTTTTCTTCAAAAGATAATGAAAAAAGATAATGAAAACATCCTTGAAGATTAATTGGTTTAGGGGACCAAAAGCTTGGTCTATTGATATAATTTCCTGGTGCCTTTAGTACAAAATTCAGGGCTCCTTCAAGCTGCTAACTTCAGATAATCATGAATAACACAAAGGCAGGGAAGCTGTGCCCAGTTGAATCAATTCTGTGTACTTACTGAATACCCTTTCTCTGCTTTGCATATCCTTCCCTTGCCATGGCTAAGTAAATCTTTTTTTTTTTAATTCATTAATTTATTTCTTTTTAGTTTTCAACATTCACATCCACAAGATTTTGAGTTCCAAATTTTTTCTCCATCTCGTCCCTCCCCCAACTCCAACACAGTGTGCATTCTGAATACCCTTTCCCCTAATCTGCCCTCCCTTTTATCTCCACTACCCCCCTTCTCTTATGCTCTTCCTCTTCTCTTTTCCTATAGGGCAGGATTGATTTCTATACCCCATTGCCTGTATATTTTATTTCCCAATTGCATGTGAAAACAATTTTTTAACATTTGTTTTTAAAACTTTGGATTCCAAATTTTCTCCCTTCCTCCCTCCCTACCCACCCTCATTGAGAAGGCAAGCAATGTGATATAGGTTATAGTTGTGTAGTAATGCAAATCATGCAAAACACTTCCATAGTAGTCATGCTGTGGAAAACTAACTATGTTCCCTTCATCTTATCCCACCCCCCATTTATTCTATTCTCTCTTTTGACCCTGTCCCTCCTTAGAAGTGTTCGCTTCTGATTACCCCCTCCCCCAATCTGCCCTCCTCTCTATCATCCTCCTGCTTTCTTGTCTCCTTCCCCGCCCCCCCATTTTCCTGTAGGGTAAGATAGATTTCCATACCCCACTGAGTGTGTATGTTATTCCCTCCTTAAGCCAAATCTGATGAGAATAAGATTCACTCATTCTCTCTCACCTTCTCCCACTTCCCCTCCGCTGTAAAAGCCTTTTCTTGTCTGTTTTGCATGAGATAATTTACCCCATTCTACCTCTCCCTTTCTCCTTCTACCAATATAATCCTCTTTCACCCCTTAATTTTATTCTTCAGATATCATCCATTCATCTTCAACTCACCCTGTGCCCTCTATCAATCTCTATCAATACATATAATTTTTTTCCCTCCAACTACCCTAATACTGACAAAGGTCTCACGAGTTACAAATATCATCTTTCCATGTAGGAATGTAAGTAGTTTAACCTTAACGATAACCTTAAAATGATAGTTTAACCCTTATGATTTCTCTTTCCTGTTTACTTCTTCATGCTTCTCTTGAGTCTTGTATTTGAAAGTCAAATTTTCTATTCAGCTCTGGTCTTTTCATAAGAATGCTTGAAATTCCTCTATTTCACTGAATATCTATTTTTTTCCCCTGAAGGATTATACTCAGTTTTTCCGGGTAGGTGATTTTTGGCTGTAATCCTATCTCCTTTGCCCTGCAGAATATCATATTCCAAGTCCTGTGGTCCCTTAGTGTAGAAGCTGCTAAATCTTGGGTTATCTTGATTGTGTTTCCACAATACTTGAATTGTTTCTTTCTGGCTCCTTGCAATATTTTCTCCTTGACCTGGGAACTCTGGAATTTGGCTACAATATTCCTAGGAGTTTGGCTACAATATTCCTAGGAATTTTCCTTTGGGGATTTCTTTCAGGAGGTGATTGGTGGGTTCTTTCCATTTCTATTTTACCCTCTGGTTCTAGAATATCAGGGCAGTTTTCCTTGATAATTTCTTGAAAGATGATGTCTAGGATCTTTTTTTGATCATGACTTTCAGATAGTGCAATAATTTTTAAATTATCTCTCCTCGATCTATTTTCCTTTTTTTTTTTTTGGTAGGCAATTGGGGTTAAGTGACTTGCCCAGGGTCACACAGCTAGTAAGTGTCAACTGTTTGATCAGAGGCCAAATTTGAATTCAGGTCTTCCTGACTTCAGGGCCAGTGCTCTATCCACTGTGATACTAGCTGCCCCGTCAGTAGTTTTTCCAATGAGATATTTCACATTGTCTTCTATTTTTTTATTCTTTTGGTTTTATTTTATAATGTCTTGATTTCTCATAAAGTCACTAACTTCCAATTGCTCCATTCTAATTTTTAAGGAAGTATTTTCTTCAGTGACCTTTTGGACTTCCTTTTCCATTTGGCCAATTCTGCTTTTTAAGGCATTTTTCTCCTCATTGGCTTTTTGGACCTCTTTTGTCATTTGGGTTAGACTATTTTTAATTTTTAAAAAAAAATTTTTTTTTTAGGCAACTGGGGCCCAGAGTCACACAGCTAGTAAGTGTCAAGTGTTTGGTCTGAGGCTGGATTTGAACTCAAGTCCTCGTGACTTCAGGGCAAGTGCTCTATCCACTGTGCCACCTAGCTGCCCCTAGACTATTTTTTAAGGTGTTATTTTCTTCAGTATTTTTTTTTCGGGTCTCCTTTAGCAAGCTGTTGATTGTTTTTCATGATTTTTGCATCACTCTCATTTCTCTTCCCAGTTTTTCCTCTACTTCTCTTACTTGCTTTTCAAAATCCTTTTTGAGTTCTCCATGGCCTGAGACCAATTCATATTTTTCTTGGAGGCTTTGGATGTAGGAGCTTTGACTTTGTTGTCTTCTTCTGGTTGTATATTTTGATCTTCTTTGTCACCAAAGAAAGATTCTATAAACTGACATTTTTTGCGAGGCTTGCTCATGATCCAGCCAATTATTTGACTTATAAACTCTTTGTTAAGGTAAGGGTCTGCTTCCAGTGTGGAGAATGTACTGTCCCAAACTTTGGGGGTTTTGTGCAACTGTTTTCAGAGATACTTTTAGGGGCCTGTAAGTTTTCACTTCTTCCAATGTGGTATGATCAAGGGTGAGGTGTTTACTCCTTTCCTGGCCTGTGCTCTGGTCTATGAGTGACCACAAGCACTCTTTTCTGCCTTGGAACTGTGAGAAGGATTCCCTCTCCACCACCACTACAAGCTCCACCATGCCAGGGCTCCTCCTCGCCCCAA